CTGAGCTGGGGTCAGGTATGGGAGGAAATGCAGGACTGGCTGAGCTGGGGTCAGGCATGGGAGTGAGGATTGTGCCACTTCTCGGCTAAGAAACTGGAATTCCAGATACAAGGCGGCAGCAATGCCAGTTGAAATGCAGCCTATTTGGTCTTGAGGCGAGACCTTGGGCCACGAAGGCTGGAGCTTTAGGCTGTCTGGTAGAACACTGCAGGGTAACTAGCCTGTGCTGGGGCCCACAGTGAGGCCTACAGGAAGGGGTAAGCTGCGCTCCCGGCAGCCGTTTGGAATGACACAGCTTTGCAAACAGGCCCTTTTTGCCTGTGGACAAAAATAGAGACGGCTGAGAATCAAATCAGACAATCGGAGTTGGCAGTTCTCTGCTCCTGCTGAAGGTAGTGCTGGAAGGGGCAGGAAAACCGGACCCCATCAGGAGCTAAGGCTGCGGCCCGGGAAAGGCCTGATTCCTCCAGGACCCCCCAAAGAACCCTGATGTGGGTCTAACCTTGCTAGAGTCCCCTATGTCCCCAGGGCCCACTTAGGGCCCCCTCTGGGCTACCCTGAGGGGCAGAATGACAGTGCCCAAAGGCATCATCCATCCTGGCCAGCCCCCAGGCTCTGCAGTAAGTGTCAGGACCCTACCTCTCCTTTCTCAGGGCTTCTGGACGTCCCATACCCTCCTCTGTCTGTGCGAATGCATCTCGGAGGTAACCCCTCTGGAGGGGTCCTCTGTCATAGGCAGGACTCAGGCTTCGGAGACAACCACTGGCCACCAGCCCAAGCTCTGCTATTCACAGGCTGCACGATCGTGGACAAGCCTCAGTTTTTCCATCCATACAGTGGGCATATAACAACTCCCTCCCATTCTACAGAGATCAATTGAAAGTTAACCCACCAGCCCACAAATATCAATATCTATTAAACAAGAGTTCCAGGGCCGTGTTTCTCAAACTGTAAGGTGAATACATGTCACCTGGGAATGCTGTTAAAACGTAAATTCTGATTCAGTACTTCTGGTGAGGGGCCTGAGAATCTACATTTCTAGACTCCTGGGTGGCGCACATGTGATAATCCCACACCCTTACCACGCCCACACCCTCAACAATCATACGCTCAGGTTCCAGAGGGGAAGGGTCCACACCTCAGGTTTCTGGGTACACCATCGAAGTCAGGTACACCAGAGGAGCTTGGAAGACTGGGGGAGAAGGGACCAAATGGGGGATTGTGCTAGGCAGGGGAAGGGCCCTCAGCCCTGCCAGGGCCGGCAGGTGACTTGGGAGCAGCCGGCCACAGTACAGGCCAGACCCATTAACCTGGCAGCCAGGAGGAGCTAGAGGCAGGACCTAGGGAGAGGGAGTTCTTCCTCCAAAGCCAGAGGCCCCAACAGGGCCCAGCCCACCTCCCGGAGGCCAAAATGAGGCCCTAAAAATCCAGGCCTCCGCTCCTGGCAGGACCAGGTCAGTCTGAGCCCAGTTGTGAAGTTGGGGGACAGTTCGCTCAGACAGGGAAGTGAAGCTATTTTGTTTTTCTATCTTAGTGAAAAATCTGTGGTGTTCATACTGTTTCTAAACAAACTTGACATGAACAATAACCTTTTTCCCCTTGGAGAAGTTGGAGGGTCATATATCACCCACCTCCCCACCAAGCAATATATACATATGTGCACGTAATGTTTCTGCACTTCAAGCAAGAGAAACCCACGACTGCTTCAACTGCCCCCTTCTCTCAAGCTCCTGGGACAGTGTCTGAAGCCCTCCCTGGGAATCAGAAAGCATCTTCTGGTCTAATCCATGTCCCCTCGACTTCAGAGCAAGGCCAAGTCCTTGTGAGTGACCCGCCAGAGGACACCCTGCCTAGTCCCTCTGCTCTGAAGGGGAAAGCAGGTGCACTGAGTATGTCTTTTGTGGGTGAAGAGACCCAGAGCCCGCTCTTGAGACACCCATACACACGCCCCCACTGAGCCTCCAGGCCTGGCTGCTCAGGCCCCTCCCACCATGACACACTGCCCCGCCCTCCTCCCGCCAACCAGGTGTGCCTGAGAACTCAACTCCCTGCCCCACTGGAAGATACCAAGTGGAACCATGGAGCGGAATACGATGCAAGATGATAAATGAGCTGACATGTAATGGCCTAGCCAGGCCGAGTCCTGTGGAGAAGGCACATCAGGCTCCCGCAGGAGGCCGCCTGGCATCTGACAGCCTGAAAAGAGGCAGCCTGGTGGCAGGCACTCTGGTTCACACACAAACCAACTGACACTTCACTTGCACCGGCCTCAGTTTTCTCATCTGTAACCTGAGAACTGGCCTAGATCATTTCTATGCTTCCTTTCAGTCTAGAATTCTGAGCAGCCCCATCAAGGGGTGTTTACAAGCTCTGGCTGCCTGGGTTCAAATCCTGGCTCTGCCAATGCCAGTGAAATCCACGAGAGTCCCTTCACCTCTCTCCTCGCAACTCCTGGGCTGTAACATGGCATTGAAGAGAACACCTACTCAGGGAGGGGGGTTACTGTGTGGATTGAATGAGGGCACACCTGGCATGGAGTGTTTAATAAATATATATTATTATTCTGTGAACTCTGTGGCATACTGCTGCCACCGTTCTTATGATGGCCTGAATGTTTGTGTCCCCTCAAGTTCATATGTTGTAGCTTTAACCCGAAATGTGACGGTATTTGGAGGTGGTGCCTTTGGAAGGTAATTAGGGTTAGATGAGGTCATGAGGGTGGGGACTTCATGATGGGATTAGTGGCTTTATAAGAAGGCAAAGAGAGAGGGATCTCTCCATGAGCACCCATGGAGGAAAGGTCACGTGAGGACATAGCAAGAAGGTGGCCATCTGCAACCCAAGGAGAGAGGCCTCACCAGACACCAACACTGCTGGTACATGGATCTTGGGTTTCCCAGCCTCTAGAACTGTGAGAAATAAATTCCTATTGTTTAAGCCACCCAGTCTATGATATTTTGTTATGGCAACCTAGCAGACTAAGACAAGCCCCATGCTCATAAGTGAAGTCAGGACCAGTGACCAGCCATCCCCGTCCCCTACTCTCTGCATTGGGAGCCATACCAAGTCCCGCCAAACCCAGGAAAATCAACACCATGCACACCCTGGAGGCCACGTGCACAGTCTCGAGCACACGCAGGGTCAGATGAACCTCAGCATGCTGAGCAGCAGGGCGCAGGCATTGCGACAGGACAGGGAGGACGGGCAGAGAGGAGGCAAGCAAGGGGGAAGCCTAGTGCAGTCAGTGGGGGGCGGGGAGTCAGTACAGCCCATGAACGAGCAGCCCACGCCAGGGACACCCAGCTCCTTACCTCCCCTGCAGCACCTGTGACCACCGGGCCTGTGTTCCCCCAAGAAGCTGGAGGCGTGCTGGAAAGAGTAGAGAGCAGGAGACAGGGAGCAGTAGGTACCGAGCCAGGTCTACAGGAAGAAGTACCGGAAAGGAGCCCTAAGAAAGGGTGTTAGGTTCGGGAGTCCATGGCATAAGTGGTTTCCAAGAGGCCAGAAAGACCCAAATGCCAAATGAAGATCACCCCCAAGACCAGCCTGTACCGGGGGCACAGAGCAGGGGATGAGAGAGCAAAGGGAGAAGACCCCACACACTGGACTGTCCCAGATGGGCACCTGCCTCCCACAGGCTGGCACCAGGTCTGTCTGGGGGAAGATCTCAGCAGATTTCCTGGGATTGTGTGAACAGTCTCTCAATGGGGAAAGGGACCCAGGGACCCACGGACCCACAGGTGGACAAACAGCTCTCAAGAAGCCCCATCGGCCATGGTTAAAGGAGGCTGTGCCCTGCAAAGATGTCACAGTCAATCTCCCAGGACACAGAGGCGTGGGAGTGGGGACTCACAGTGCAAGGCCAATGTCAGAGAGTGGAGGTTCCAATCCTGGATCCACCACAAATCTCTGGGTAACTCCAGGTAAGGTACATCCCCTCTCTGGGCCTCAGTTTCCCTGTATATAAGATGGGAGAATGTCCCCATGTCTAAGAGAAAAGAAGGTGACAAATACTTTACCAATGCCAGACACCAAATCCCCACAGGGTCACACGTGTTTCTAGACTTTTCTCTGGGGGTTGGTTTGTGCTGGAATAAAGAGATGATCAAACATCCAGGATTCCTGGCAACAGTGTGGACAGAGGGGCTCCTGGGACCTCAGTGCCACCAAGAGCCACCACTCGGGCTCCGTGATCCCAGGATTCAAGGACCCAGGGAAGGTGGTGCCTGAAGCACAAAGTCTGGGGGAGGGCTTTCACTGCCATGTAACACCTTCAGGGTCAGTTCAAGGGCACTCTTTCCCCAGGTGGGCATCCACAGCGCACGTGATGAAATTCCTACATCACTGACCCTGTGTGCCTGGCTCCCCACCACAGCATCACTCGCCCTGGGAACTGGCTCTGACCTGCCCATCACAGGACCCAGCATTGCCTCCCTGGGCGGCTCACCGCAGGTGCCCAGCAAATACCTGAGGAGAGCCAGGCTGCTCTGTGCCATTGAGCACCTGATCGGTAGCCAACGCCAGTCACTAGTGCCACTCTAACAACGGGTGGCACGCTTTTAAAGCCTTTCTCACCCTGGTTACAACACAACTGATTCCTCTCGTTCATGGTAACCCTGTGAGGGTAGGTATTTCGACCCTGTCTTTCAGGTAAAGCCACTGAGGCCAAGAAAGGTGAAGAGCTATATGCCCAAGGGCACACAGTCAGGTGACTATCTGTCGACAGAGCCAGGGCAGGAACCTGAGTCTTCTGACCTGACATCCGGCCCAGCGCCTGCCATCAGCCGGCATGTGCTGATGTGGTTGGTTACCCTGGCATCCACCCGGCTGGTCAGTGCCTGGGCACTCCCGGGGGTTAAGTACCTTAAACGCTGCCCTGCAGGCCCACCCTCAACACAGCACTGCTGCCCTGCAGCTGCCACCCGCTCCCGGCACATGGGGGCCAGAGTGTAACGAGCTGCGCACAGTGGTGGGGAGACCCGGCCGGTGCTCACACCTACCTTTGATGACAAAGGCCTCCGCCAGCAGCCGCATCTGATACAGGGGCTTATTCTCCATGGACATGTCATCAATCCCGGCCCGCGCGTACATGCTGATGGCATCTCGGTACGAGCCCTCCACGTAATGCAGCTTGCCCAGGATCAGCATGGCCTCACACATGTACTGCGGCTGAAAGGCCAAGGACCACATCAGCAGGGTCCTGCCCCAGAGACGCCGGCCCCACCCCCACCGGGGACCTGAGAATGAACGCTCTCCTCACCGAGCCATGAGGGTTTGCCTACGATCCTGCTCAGAACTCCCCTCCTCTTCCAGGAAGCCTTCCCAACCCTCAGACACATGTGGACAGCTCCCCTCTCTGCACACCTGCAGTCCGTGGCCTATGCTGTGGCTCTTAGTGACATTCTTATGAGTCCCTAACTGCTTCATGTGCGTGTACCTTATGCCCCCAACTAGACTGCAGGCAGCTTGCAGACTGGCCCTGACTCCTCTCTCCTGAAGCTCCCAGAAGCTTTGGCCCACCAGTGGGCAGTCAGGGGCCCAGCCAAGTTTTGCGGGGCCTAAAGCTTATGTAACTGGGGGGCTCCTCTATATATGCATATATGTACAAATATATAACTAGGTGAAAGGCCTTGGAAAGAGTCCTGCAGGTGAGGCAGCTGAAGCCCGCACTCAAAGCAGCAGAGCCCCTGCGGGGAGACGGCCACCCACAGCAGCCGCACGGACAGAAGACAGGAGGAGAGTGAAGGCCCGCGAGGCCACTGCCCTCTTCTTATCAGAATCAAGTGGCTGCATTCAAACCGCTTTTCTTTCCCCTACTTGACCAAGTGCCGCTTACGCCCAAATCTCCACCCCATACAAGGACTCTTAGGGCCTCCCTCAGAGCCCAAGGACGTGTGGTCAGCCCTGCCTGAGAGTCCTGGCCTTGGACGCAGGCCCAGAGCTCCCACCTTCTGAGGCCACTCCACTTCCATGTCTGTGCTCGGCCGACCCACCACCCTCTTGGCCAGGCTCTGGGCGCCACCCCTGCCACACAGCATCAATTCTGTCCACAGAGCTCCCAGGAGATGCAGCGTTGGTCAGCACCCCGGCCTCTGTCACCAACAGGAAGGTGACTCCCTGCAGGGAGAGCAGAGTAGTCTGGGGAACCTGTGACCCCAGGGGAGGCGTCCACCACTCCTCGCCATCTACTGCCCTCTCAGAAGCCAACGAAGAGAAATGGAACACGGCAAAGCCAAATTCTCCTTCCTCACTGGTCTTTGGTTTTTGTAAATACACGTTCTTCCTTTGCTCACACAAGCCCCCATCTAGAAGAGCCTTCCCTTCCCCTCGGTCTATCCAGATCCTCCTCTATCCTTCGGAGACTTGCTCAGGCCCACCTCCTCCTAGAAGCCTCCCTGACTACCAGACAGCTCCCTTCTGCTGACCTCCTACAACGTCTCTACCAAGTGGACCCACTGGGCCCCTGCATGCCTGACCTGTTGACTAGTGATTAACTCTCAAAGGCTGAATTTTTCAAGGGGACTTGCTAGTCTCCCCAGACAGGCTGCCTACACCCTGGGCCAGGGCCACAGATCACACCCCCCCAGAGGCACGTGGCCCACAGTCCCTCAAGCTGAGCAACAGCTCTGCCATCCCTGCTCCCCTGGTCTCAAGCCACAGGCACATTTCCTCCCTGCTCTGGCCTGGTTTTCCCCATTGCTGAGGGTGAGAAAATAACAGCCACCCCTCAACTCCCAGCACAGCAATGCCAAGAGCATTAATAGGGCAAAGTCCAGAAAACAGCTTTGAACTTTTCTTTAGAAAGGAGCTAGATAAACACAGGCCATGAGTAATTATTATTATTATCCTGTCCTACTATAAAGGGGGAAAAGGGCAGCGAAGCTCAGGACACGTTTCAGGGCAAGATGACAGGGTGTAGCTCAGAGTGGTTCCCGGTGGATCAAAGACAGTTGACAGCAGAGCTTCCACCAAAGCTGGCAGAAAATTAAGGACAAGGTGGTGAATGTTTCTAAAGCTGAAGTTATACTATTGAAAACGTTACCCTTAATTCTTAAGCACATCTGTCTTGTGTTTCAGTGTTGTTTTTTCTTTTATGGAGTGATGGTTATAGAAGACGGTATGGTTTTGCTGTTGTGTTTTGGGGCTTTTTTAATGTCCTTACTTGGCAGAATGAAAAGTTGGCTACACTCAGCAGAACCCATGTCTCTGAATTTGAACCTGGCCTGTCAATCCAACAGTCAGGGAACCACAGAGCCCAGGCCCTGTGGAAGGATGCTATGTAGGAAGTCACTGGGTCTGGGGAATAGTCCCTCTGCTGGGTGGGTCAGGCGTGTCACCTAGTCTTTTTGTGCCTCAATGTCTCTGTCAATAAAAAGGGAAGAATGACCTCACGTGGATACCCAGGTAAGAGGAAGAAGAGATGAGGAAATACTTCACAGATGCAAAATGAGACCTGAACAAGCAGGAGTGGCAGCATCACCACCAACGTTAGCTCAAGTTTCTCAGTCATTATTTCATTTCTACTCCAGCACTACGGAGACAGCACCAGGAAATGGCAGACAGCAATGAGAACTTGGGAGCAGAGGCAAATAGGCCCGCGTTCAAGACCTGCACTGTGGTCCTTGGCTAAGTGACTAACCTCTCCTAGGTCTCAGTTTCTTCATCTGGAAAATGGGGATAATAGTAAATACCATTGCAGAAGGTTACAGAGAGGCACCAGTGAGAGGGTGCAAAGCCTGGCACTTGCTGGATAACAGAAGTTAGGACAAATGGCTCATTGTCACCAGCCTCCAAAGCACTGAGCTGTATGGGATCTCAGAGATGACTAAGAGTAGAAAGTTCCAAACTACCCTGAGGAGGCGCCCCAGGACCCACCTCCCCTCCTCATCCCATCAGAGCTACTCGGGATGCAGGGGAATCCACCTGAGATTTCATCTGCTGCCAGGAAAGAGCATCCCCCCAGCCACACCCTGGCCTTTGGGGTAAGATAGAGAATCCCACAAACTATTTTTAATATTTTATTTTCCCTGATCAGCAGCAAGTTTTTGGCCTTGGCTCAGAAAACAGTGAATTTCTCGATTTCATTGGTGTCTATGTATGTCTTTGATTAACAAAGCACGGTAAAATTTTAAAATTAACCGCTAGCCATTTTTTAATTTTAGTTTTTTGGTCGCACCACACAGCTTGCGGGATCTCAGTTCCCTGACCAGGGATTGAACGCAGGCCACAGCAGTGAAAGCCCAGAATCCTAACTGCTAGGCCACCAGGGAACTCCTAAGCATGGTAAAATTTGTACTTAATAAATGTGATATGGTAGACAAAATAGTTTTCACAATAATACACGTGGATACCATTCAGCCAATACAAAGAATGAGGTACTGGCATGCAGAAAGCTTCAAGTGCAAGTTTTCAGGGCAAAAGTGCAACTTGACAAATATGAATCCTATGACTAATAAGAAAAGAAATCTCCACACATGTGTATGTGTGTTTGTTAACGCACAAAGAAAGCATATGGGATTCACACCAAATGGTGACTAGCGCTCAACTCTGGGGATGGAAGTGGGCATGGGGCTAGGGGTGGAAACAAGGATGTATTTATTAGTCAAACTCTTTATTTTATTTAGTGAATTTTTTTTTACAATAAGCCTGAGTCATTTCTATTTTAAAAAGAATTTTTAAATATATAATAGAGTCTACTGGAAAGAAAAAAATTAAAAGGGTCCTGGTGGGAAAAGCTTGAGACCCATGAATCAAGTCCAACCATCTTGATTGGCAGATGAGGAACTGGAGGGTCCAGGATGTCAGGGGACAGGCTCAGGGTCAAGCAGCTATTTTAATCCGAGACAAAACCTCCCAGAGCTACAATAATCCCTGTCAAGGAGTCTAAACGCAGTTACCTTAAACTTCCAGTATAGTCTCCCCACACTGCTTACAGAAAATGCCCCCCACTTCTTGGCCTGCTGTTCCAGTCCCACTCTCTCGCCCTAATGTCCCTTTACACCAATTACACACCAGTCCCTTACACTCTTGCTAACTGACATACTTTAAGGAAATTATTCTAAGAGGAGCTCTTTGATTATACACTGCTTCCGTAGCTTGGAATGCCTTGTCTTATCTGTGTATGTCTATATCCTGACCTCCTTCAAGGTCCAGCCCCCAGATGGGTCCAATTCCAGCACTATCATAATCCTGAGTTGACTCCCCACCTCACCCCAGGGAGTGTCCCCCTCAGACTTGCCTCCCCATGTATGCTACTCCTGTAGCATGTGTCACAGTACACCTTGAATAATTTTTTAATAGGACTAGCTTCCCAGTAGCCTTGCAACCTCCCTGAGGGCAGGGTCCATGCTGGACTCATCTTTATTGCCCTGAAAGTACATGATACAATGCCTTGCACATAGTAGGTTGCAATAAAATATGTAAGTCAGGAAATATATTACTTTGGAACATCTCTTGAAAAATCATTTCCCCTTGGGGTCTCTAATGACATACCCATACTTCTTTTATAGTTCAGGATACATGGTAATTGAGAACAGTTTCAAACTTGAAACTGCCTGAGAATCACCAAGAGAGCTTGTTAAAATGCAGGTTCTGAATCAGATTTTGCATTCTTAACCAGCTCCCAGATGATGCCCATACTGCGTGTGGGTGGACCATGCTTCGAGCAGTAAAGGTCTAAAGAAAGCTGTGACTATACTTCCCTCTATACTGCCCCTCAGTGCCTTGCATATAGTAGTTGCTCAATAAGTGCACATGGACTCGAACTGGCTTGCCATGTTATGGAGTGCTTCCGTTGCTAGCCAACTCAGAATGTTTGCCTGTTTCCAACTAGATCATACATTCACTGAGGTTTTATTTCCCTGAGATCCTCAAAGAAGCCAAAGGACCAGGCACAAACTAGATCAACCAAACGCTGTGTAATAGAAATATATAACTTGGGCCACAAGTGCAAGCCACAAGTGTAATTTAGATTTTTCTAGTAAACATTTCTAGTCACATTAAAAAAGGTAAATATAGGTAAAATTAATTTTAATAATATATTTTATTTAATATATTCTAAATATTATCATTTGAATATGTAATCAATATAAAGAATTGACGCTCTTTCATATTCCGCGTTTTGTACTAAGTCTTCAAAATCCAGTGTGTGTTTCACACTCACAGCACAGCTCAGTTTGGACAAGCCATGTGGCTAGTGGCTACTGTACTGAACAGGGCAGGCCAACCCTTAAGGGACACTTGCTGCTCAGGTGACCAAATGACCCCAGAAGGTCCTCACAGCAGAGACGAGGCAGGAGAGAGGAGAGACAGCTCCAGGCTGGGTGGGTGGGGGGGTCTACAACTTACCGGCAGCCTCCCGTGATTAAGGATACTGCTCAGATGGTTTCTGGCTTCATTCATCTTCGGCTCACTCTTCTCCAGCAGAGGGATAGAGTCTTTTATCTTGGAGTGGTTCTCCTTCAAACACTGCTCCAGGAGGGCCTCGGCCAGGAGCAATTTCCCAAAGCCATCTGGAAAACAGGGCAGGGATCACAGTGGCTACGTGAGGACAGTAGTCCCCTGAACATGGCAGATGTGGAGACTGGTACACGCCCCTGTACCCACCCAACACCCCCAACCCAGCATTTGAATGGCTCGGATCTGAGAAAATAAAGACATAGTTTCTACGCACTTAAAACAGCCTTTAAAGAAAAAACACACATTCTACCATGGTCACAGCACCAACTGCCCCCTTGGGTTTATTTTCTGTAGTTCAGTGTTTGAGGAGGTGGAGTTCCCAGGACTTGGAACAAGCCCAGAATTTCAGAATTTAAAATGAGGGACAGAGATTGGTTCAAGATGGCGGAGTGGAAGGATGTGCGCTCACTCCCTCTTGCGAGAGCACCAGAATCACAACTAACTGCTGAATAATCATTGACAGGAGGATGCTGGAACTCACCAAAAAAGATGCCCCACATCCAAGGACAGCAGAGAAGCCACAATGAGATGGTAGGAGGGGTGCAATCACAATAAAATCAAATCCCATGGCTGCTGGGGGGGTGACCCACAAACTGGAAAACACTTATACCACAGAAGTCCACCCACTGGAGTGAAGGTTCTGAGACCCACGTCAGGCTTCTCAACCTGGGGGTGCAGCAACGGGAGGAGGAATTCCCAGAGAATCAGACTTTGAAGGCTAGTGGGATTTGATTGCAGGACTTTGACAGGACTGGGGGAAGGGGAGACTCCACTTTTGGAGGGCACACACAAAGTAGTGTGTGCATCGGGACCCAGGGAAAGGAGCGGTGACCCTATAGGCGACTGAACCACACCTACCTGCTAGTGTTGGAGGGTCTTCTCAGATGCAGGGAGTGGCTGTGGCTCACCATGGGGACAAGGACACTGGCAGCAGAAGTTCTGGGAAGTACTCCTTGGCGTGAGCCCTCCCAGAGTCCACCATTAGCCCCACCAAAGAGCAGGTAGGCTGCAGTGCCGGGTCACCTCATGCCAAAAAACCAACAGAGAGGGAACTCAGCCACACCCATCAGCAGACAAGTGGATTAAAGTTTTACTGAGCTCTGCCCACCGGAGCAACACCCAGCTCTACCCACCACCAGTCCCTCCCATCAGGAAGCTTGCACAAGGCTCTTAGATAGCCTCATCCACCAGAGGGCAGACAGCAGAAGCAAGAAGAACTACAATCCTGCAGCGTGTGGAACGAAAATCACATTCACAGAAAGACAGACAAAATGAAAAGGCAGAGGACTATGTACCAGATGACGGAACAAGATAAAACCCTGGAAAAACAACTGAATGAAGTGGAAATAGGCAACCTTCCAGAAAAAGAATTCAAAATAATGATAGTGAAGATTATTCAGGAGCTTGGAAAAAGAATGGAGGCAAAGATTGAGAAGATGCAAGAAATGTTTAACAAAGACCTAGAAGAATTAAAGAACAAAGACCTAGAAGAATTAAAAAATGAACAGAGATGAACAATACAATAACTGAAACGAAAACACACTGGAAGGAATAGCAGAGTAACTGAGGCAGAAGAACGGATAAGTGACCTGGAAGACAGAATGGCAGAATTCACTGCCATGGGACAGAATAAAGAAAAAAGAATGAAAAGAAACAAAGACAGCCTAAGAGACCTCTGGGACAACATTAAACACAACAACATTTGCATTATAGGGGTCCCAGAAGGAGAAGAGAGAGAGAAAGGACCTGAGAAAATATTTGAAGAGATTATAGTAGAAAACTTCCCTAACATGGGAAAGGAAATAGCCACCCAAGTCCAGGAAGTGCAGAGAGTCCCAGGAAGGATAAACTCAAGGAGCAACACGCCGAGACACACAGTAATCAAACTGACAAAAATTAAAGACAAAGAAAAACTATTAAAAGCAACAAGGGAAAAATGACAAATAACATACAAGGGAACTCCCATAAGGTTAACAGCTGATTTCTCAGCAGAAACTCTACAAGCCAGAAGGGAGTGGCACGCTATATCTAAAGTGATGAAAGGGAAGAACCTACAACCAAGATTACTCTACCCGGCAAGGATCTTAATCAGATTTGATGGAGAAATCAAAAGCTTGACAGACAAGCAAAAGCTAAGAAAATTCAGCACCACCAAAAAAGCTCTACAGCAAATGCTAAAGGAACTTCTCTAAGTGGGAAATGCAAGAGAAGAAAAGGACCTACAAAAACAAACCCGAAACAATTAAGAAAATGGTAATAGGAACATACATATCGATAATTACCTTAAATGTGAATGGATTAAATGCTCCAACCAAAAGACACAGGCTTGCTGAATGGATACAAATCAAGACCCATCTATATGCTGTCTACAAGAGACCCATTTCAGACCTAGGGACACATACAGACTGAAAGTGAGGGGATGGAAAAAGATATTCCAGACAAATGGAAATCAAAAGAAAGTTGGAGTAGCAATACTCATATCAGATAAACTAGACTTTAAAATAAAGAATGTTACAAGAGACAAGGAAGGACACTACATAACGATCAAGGGATCAATCCAAGAAGAAGATACAACAATTGTAAATATTTATGCACCCAACACAGGAGCACCTCAATACATAAGGCAAATGTTAACAGCTCTAAAAGAGGAAATCGACAGTAACACAATAATAGTGGGGGACTTTAACACCTCACTCACACCAATGGACAGATCATCCAGACAGAAAATTAATAAGGAAACACAAGCTTTAAATGACACAACAGACCAGATAGATTTAATTGATATTTATAGGACATTCCATCCGAAAACAGCAGATTACACTTTCTTCTCAAGTGCGCACAGAACATTCTCCAGGATAGATCACATCTTGGGTCACAAATCAAGCCTCAGTAAATTTAAGAAAATTGAAATCATATCAAGCATCTTTTCCGACCACCACGCTATGAGATTAGAAATCAACTGAGGGGAAAAAAAACTTAAAAGACAAACACAGGGAGGCTAAATAACTTGTTACTAAATAACCAAGAGATCACTGAAGAAATCAGAGGAAATCAAAAAATACCTAGAGGGCTTCCCTGGCGGCGCAGTGGTTGAGAGTCCACCTGCCGATGCAGGGGACACGGGTTTGTGCCCCGGTCCGGGAGGATCCCACATGCCGTGGAGCGGCTGGGCCCGTGAGCCATGGTCGCTGAGCCTGTGCGTCCGGAGGCTGTGCTCCGCAGCGGGAGAGGCCACAGCAGTGAGAGGCCCGCGTACCGCAAAAAAAAAACAACAAAAAACTTCCTAGAGACAAATGACTATGAAAACACAATGATCCAAAACCTATGGGATGCAGCAAAAGCAGCTGTAAGTGGGAAGTTTAGAGCAATACAATTCTACCTCAAGAAACAAGAAAAATCTCACATAAACAATCTAACCTTACACCTAAAGGAATTAGAGAAAGAAGAACAAACAAAACCCAAAGTTAGTAGAAGGAAAGAAATCATAAAGATCAGAGCAGAAAGAAATGAACTAGAAACAAAGAAAACAATAGCAAAGATCAATAAAACTAAAAGCTGGTTCTTGGAGAAGATAAACAAAATTGATAAACCTTTAGCCAGACTCATCAAGAAAAAGAAGGAGAGGACTCAAATCAATAAAATTAGAAATGAAAAAGGAGAAGTTACAACAGACACCACAGCAATACAAAGCATCCTAAGAGACTACTACAAGCAACTCTATGCCAATAAAATGGACAACCTGGAAGAAATGGACAAATTTTTAGAAAGGTATAACCTTCCAAGACTGAAGCAGGAAGAAATAGAAAATATGAACCGACCAATCACAAGTCATGAAATTGAAACTGTGATTAAAAATCTTCCAACAAACAAAAGTCCAGGACCAGATGGCTTCACAGGTGAATTCTATCAAACATTTAGAGAAGAGTTAACACCCATCCTTCTCAAACTCTTCCAAAAAATTGCAGAGGAAGGAACACTCCCAAACTCATTCTATGAGGCCACCATCACACTGATACCAAAACCACACAAAGATACTACAAAAAAAAGAAAATAACAGACCAATATCACTGATGAATATAGAGTCAATCTGTGTGGCAAACTTCATTATTGTCTTATTGGAAGAAATTGCCTCAGACACCCCAACCTTCAGCAACCACTGCCTTGATCTGTCAGCTGCCATCAACATTGAGGCAAGACCCTCCACCAGCAAAAAGACTATGACTCACTGAAGGGTCAGATGACGGTTAGCATTTTTAGCAATAAAGTACTTTTTGCATATAGATGCAAAAATCCTCAACAAAATACTAGCAAACAGAGTCCAACAACACATTAAAAGGATCACACACCATGATCAAGTGGGATTTATCCCAAGGATGCAAGGATTCTTCAATATATGCAAATCAATCAGTGTGATACACCATATTAACAAACTGAAGAAGAAAAACCATATGATCATCCCAGTAAATGCATTAAAAGCTTTTGACAAAATTCAACACCCATTTATGACAAAAACTCCCCAGTAAGTGGGCATAGAGGGAACCTACCTCAACATAATAAAGGCCATATACAACAAACCCACAGCAAACGTCATTCTCAATGGTGAAAAACTGAAAGCATTTCCTCTAAGATCAAGAACAAGACAGGATGTCCACTCTCGCCACTATTATTTAACATAGTTTAGGAAGTCTTAGCCACAGCAATCAGAGACAAAAAAGGAATACAAATTGGAAAAGAAGAAGTAAAACTGTCATTGTTTGGAGATGACATGATACTATACATAGAGAATCCTAAAGATGCCACCTGAAAACTACTAGAGCTAATCAACGAATTTGGCAAAGTTGCAGGATACAAAATTAATGCACAGAAATCTCTTGCATTCCTATACCCTAACAACAAAAGATCAGAAAGAGAAATTAAGGAAACAATCCCATTCACCATGGCAACAAAGAGAACAAAATACCTAGGAATAAACCTACCTAGTGAGGTAAAAGACCTGTACTCAGAAAACTATAAGACACTGATGAAAGAAATCAAAGATGACACAAACAGATGG